CATTAGCACCTCTAGTGATATATTTACTGAGAAAAATGGTGACGTGTTCAATACTTATTTTACCCACTGTATCACTTGTGTTTATCTTTGTGTTTTCCCTTGACCCAGCATTTCCTTAGGATGAAATATTGCTTTATTAAGATGACATAATAGTGTTTGTTAAACAGTATATATGAGGCCTCATCTGCGTCAGTAGCAGAGAGACAGGAGCAGAGAACAGGGGTACAGATGGCTTTATGTTGTTCTCTGTGCTCCTGTCTGGACCACATATTTCTGTCTTTTTTAAATAAATATTTCCATAACAGTTGGCGTTGTCGGCAGGATCCACTAGGAGATAGACGAACCAAGGCAACATCGCAGGTGGACTGATATGAGTGAGCAAGGACTGCTCAGGACCATGACTCCAGCTGTATCTAAAGAACCTTTTTAACAACAGAGATACGCTGGTGACTAACCATGATGGATGATCTTGAATAAGCAGAGAACATTGGATTTTTTTATATTTGCTGTTGAAGAATCTGAGATTTTTTGAAACATCAACTGCTGAGAGTGAGTACAGACAAGCTTCAAGACGCCTCCTTTCTTTTCCAAAGAGGATTTCTGTCAGCTTCTCCAAAAGGTGACGGTGTTGGAGCTCAAGATTCATCATCTGGAAGAGATGAATGCTTTGGAGGACTCAACGTGTTCAAATGGGTGAGAAGGCTGAGATGACAGATCCACAGGACGAGGAGATGGGAGCTGCTTCTGAGGGTGAAGCCGTATGGAACTCTCTTGGTGCCAGACCAAAAAATCTCTCAGGAGGGAAGGATTCAGTTCTTAGATGACAACGAATGGCCAGAGTTACAGAGAAATGCTTTTTCTCCACCAGCAAGAAGAAAGCAGCAACAGGCTGGAATCAAAACAACTGATAACAGCCAGAGAAATGAAGACAGAGCAGTCTTTATTCAAAACAAATTCACACCACTGGAAGAAACTGGTGAGTCTGAACAAAGTATTGATATATGACACACTGACTCTCCATCTCTGTTTAAATTGTATATCTGCAATGATCAGAAAATATAAAGTACAAAACTAGATCTAACATAGAGTTAATCAGCTGGAGTCCTGTTTGGGTTTGTGTTAATGTTGTTGTTGTTGATGTTTGGTGATGCAGAAGACAAAAACAACCTTGGTTCTGGGAAAGTTGGGACTTAGTGTAAAATGTAAATAAAAACTGAATCACATGACTTGCAAATTTTTAAAAAGTTTTTCCCCCACAGTGGAACACACTAAACATCAAATGATTAAAATAATAAATTGTAAAATTATTTCTGAAAATTTTGAAATTAATTTTAAATTAATTGGCAGCAACAAAACAAAGTGAGTTCAGATAAAAACAGCAGCGTTAACAAAACTAAAGAAATTAGCTCTCACCAGATCAGTCAGAGGTATAAAAAGAGTTTTAGAAGTAAAAATGGCCAGAGGGTCAGCAGTCTGAGGAAAACTCTAAAATAGTGAAACTTCCAAAATAAAGGTCCTAAACTTCTCCAGTCCATAATCTCATTCTCAGATTATAATCTGCCTGAAAGTCCATAATGTATGGTGGTGGTCTTCAGGCCCTCGGGTTCTGGTTCTGGACCTCAGTGCATGGACTCAGGACCACTTCCACAGGTCAGCATCCAGAACCTCTGCTGTCTTCTTTGGACCAAAGCTGGTTTAAAACGGACCGAGAAAAAGAGGATCCAAATCTGAAGTTCTGATTGTGAATAAAAGTTCATGAGATTTAAGATAAGATAAAACTTTATTGATCGCACAGTGGGAAAATTTATACATTACATTGTCCGGTATTTTACCTGAAACTGAGACTTTTAAAACACAACAACCCACCAGACATTAAACAAAGACATCAGAGACCAATAACAGTTTAAAGTCACTTTGCAAAGGGAGAAGTTCAAATGTCCAACTTAAAGCTGCTGTATGTAGTTTCTTGAGTACCCAAAAACTTAGAAAAATTTTGAACAGAAACAACCTTGTAGTCCCTCCCCCTGCTCTCAGCTCCCCTTCCTAGGCTCCTCCCCCACAGCACGGCACAGTCGGGGGCGCACGCTTGAAAACAAGAGGTGATCTCACCGTAACACAGAGCTCAGAGCTAAGCTGCCGTCACGGGTAAGAACAAAACAACTATATATTTTCAACTATCATGTCTTGCCCATACTTTATCTACACAAGTGCTCCTTTTGTCATAACGTTACATGTAAATTATGTTGCACTCTTTCTA